CGTTTCCGTCTGAAAACCTTTCCGTCAACTTTTTCAGCCAAGCAAAGTCAAATCAAGAGCGATATTCGAGAATGTTTGTATTTATGTTAAATAAACTTGCCCAAAAATCGACGGAAAAAGTGCTAGTGTGACGGCACCGTAAGCGAGGAAGCCGTTTCGTAACGTATTAGCATCAGCGGAAGAAACGTTTCACAACAATGGCGACTAGTATCGACAATGAAACGTTTCGCAATATGTTGGGCGTTAGCCTCAGCAGACGAAACGCGCTGCAGCATGTTGGGTATTAGTATGAGCGAGGGAAACGTTTCGTAACATATTAGCATCAGCGGAAGAAACGTTTCACAGCAGTGGATAATAGCATAACCGTTTTGCAGCTTAGTAACATGGGCAGAAGAAACGTTTTACAACATTGGATAATAGCATAAATGAGAGAAACGTTTCGTAACATATTAGCATCAGCAGAGGAAACGTTTCACAACATTGGGTACTAGTATCGACAATGAAATTCTCTCTCTCTCTCTCTCTCTCTCTCTCTCTCTCTCTCTCTCTCTCTCTCTCTCTCTCTCTCTCTCTCCTCTTTCTCTCTCTCTCTCTCTCTCTCTCTCTCTCTCTCTCTCTCTCTCTCTCTCTCTCTCTCTCTCTCTCTCTCTCTCTCTCTCTCTCTCTCTCTCTCTCTCTCTCTCTCTCTCTCTCTCTCTCTCTCTCTCTCTCTCTCTCTCTCTCTCTCTCATCTCTTATCTCTCTCTCTCTCTCTCTCTCTCATCTCGTCTCTCTCTATCTATCTGTCTATCTCCCTCCTCTCTGTCTATCTCCCTCTCTCTCTCTCTTCCTCTCCCTATCTCTCTATCTATCTCCCTCCCTCCCTCTGCATTACCCAACGTGTGAGCTGAAGGTTTTCCGCGGTTTTGCCAGAGTGAGGATGCTTTCATATATCGCAATCTGTCTTCTTGTTTGTACCTGTTTCATGTTTTCTCTGCCTTTCCTTTTTTTCTCTCTCATTATCTTTCTGTTTCTGTCTGTCTGTCTTTGTCTCTCTCTGTTTCTTTCTCGTCTCTCTCTCTCTCTTTATCTCTTTATCTCTTTCTCTCTATCTCTTCTCTCTCTTCTCTCTCTCTCTCCTCTCTCTCTCTCTCTCTCTCTCTCTCTCTCTCTCTCTCTCTCTCTCTCTCTCTCTCTCTCTCTCTCTCTCTCTCTCTCTCTCTCTCTCTCTCTCTCTCTCTCTCTCTCTCTCTCTCTCTGCTCTCCTCTCTCTCTCTCTCTCTCTCTCTCTCTCTCCCACCCAGCACTTTTCCCCTTACGCCACACGTTTTCAACCTTACATAAACAATAACAATTCAATAAAAAAAAAACATTTGCTGACATAGAATAATTCATGTAATAAACATGCATACCAAAATAAGAATGGCGTACCTTTTGAATTTTCGTTACGAAATCGTCTAGAATTTCGAAAGTTCGAGAAATCGTTTTACACGAAAATGTTCGAGTGTTTTCCACGTCATGAGACCGATACGTCATAGCCGACGTCACCGAGATGACGTCACCAAGCGGACGGGACAGGGAAAACGTCGCGCTTCTGGCAACTTACCCAAGGACGTTTCATCGACCTTCGTTCATTTTCTTTCCACGAGATGATTATCAAATTTTCCTTTAATTGGTACGATTCTGGGCATTGACACTGAAATAAAGATTTGTATGACTTTTATTGCATTTTAAGACATTACTTAAACATTGACAGAAGCATATCGAAAGCGTGAAAGCCAGGAAACTTCTGCATGCAATATGTCGTAGCTGAACGAATAGCAAAGAAAATGCTGATATGAAATATTGCAACATGGCACCTGTTACTACATGTTGACTTACAAAAAATGAAAATTTGTCATTTGTACTGCGTAGTAAACTCGGGTAATTCCCATTTATGGAATGTGTAAACATTAAATAAAGTTGTGAGAATTATGATAACAAGGGAGAGAGTGAGAGGAAGTGAGGGGAGGGAGAGGGAGAGAGAGAGGGAGAGAGTGAGAGAGAGAGAGAGAGAGAGAGAGAGAGAGAGAGAGAGAGAGAGAGAGAGAGAGAGAGAAGAGAAGAGAGAGAGAGAGAGAGAGAGAGAGAGAGAGAGAGAGAGAGAGAGAGTGAGGGGGGAAGGGAGAGAGAAAAAGAAAGAGAAAAGGATATAAGGAGAGAGTGAGAGAGGGAGAAAGACACACAGAGAGAGACACAGGTAGAGACAGAGAAAGAGAGAGAGAGGTAGAGACAGAGAAAGAGAGGGAGAGAAAAAGAAAGAGAAGACGGAGAGAGAGAGAGACGGAAAGAAAGTGAAAGAGACAGAAAGAGAGAGATAGGGAGAGGGGAAGGGAGACAGAGTAAGTAAAAATACGGAGAGAGAGGGAGAGGTAGGAGTGGAGAGAGACAGGGAGAATGACAGACAGACATAGAATACACAAACACAGGAACATAATAATACATGTTTACATACAACACATGAATATGAGTGGAGAGAGACAGAGAGAATGACAGACAGACATAGAATACACAAACACAATACCTAACACAAGACGGAAATGCTGCGCTAAAACAGAGATAAAATAATAATGACGATTAATAATAACTGATGATAAAAATAATAACATCAATCACTTTTCTCGCATATGTACTGTCAGCACGACTGAAAATAATAATAATAGTAATATTAATAGTAATAATTAGACAAAAAATAACAATAATAATAATATTGATCACTTTCCTCGCATCTGCACAGACAGTAAAATAAAACTACAAGTACCTTTGGATTCCATTTTTATTGGGATTCTTTACAAAAATATAAATAGATTTCCAACCCAGTGCAAAGTACAAACAAAATCACTTTAGCAATACTTTATCACACAATGCCTGAAAGCGGTCGAAAAAATAAAGGACAAAAAATAAAGGACAGACTTTTAAAAATTATTATAATTTTCTCTTCAGTTTGAATATCCTTTGAGTAAGTGAAATGTTGACGGGTCTCATTTCAGGCATTTCTCTTTGGGTATTTTGAGTGATATTGTTCATTAGTTTTTTTAATGACGTCCTGAGGGTGAGGCGATGGCCATTTACTCTAAATAATAAGTAAATGAACTTTCGCTTTCTTGTAAACTGTGAATGAAATGATGTATGAGGCTGATTTCCTGATAATGATGTGGTTATGAATATCACTCAGTTAAGTTATATATACAAATGCACTTAAATAATAGTCACTCGCATTTACACATTCGATTTGTACATTTCATTTATTCCGAGCGTATGTTGGCTTCATGTTTGGTTGGCGAGAGGTTCCTCGATGCCTGAGGGCGCCGCAGGAGGCCGCGACGAGAGCTGAGAGCGGCCAGAAGGACCGCCCTCCGCCTCACACCACCGTCAGGCCCAGCGTCCGCAGCACGCTGGTGAGGCGGTTCCTGTTCCGGAAGAGCTGCTGGAAGGCCTGCACCCTCTGCGCCAGCGCCTGGTTCTCCTGCAGGAGCTGGTTCCTCTCGTCCAGCAGCTGCTTCATGGACTCGCCGCTGAGCATGAAGGGGCGCCCCGCGGCCACCATCCTCACCGCCGGCCGCCCGTCGTCGACCTTCGCTGCGGCGACGCCCTCGCCCGGCGTCGGCGCCCGAACGGCGGCCGGACGCGGGCGGCCGCCGGGGAAATAACCCCGGCGCCGCCCACGACGGGCACTGCCATGAACATCACCCTGGGCGCCTTGGCCTGGGGCGGAACGGCCGCTTCCTCTCCTCCTTCGGAAGGCTGAGACCGAAGGCGCTTGCGGTGAGTTCCAAGCGGGATTCTGTCGCCCGCTGGCTGCGGCGACGTCGGCGCGCTGGGAGGAGCGCCCCCCACTCCGGCAGGGCGAGCGGGAGCACCAACTCGGCCTCCTGCGCGGGCGCCAGTCGCCTCCCGCGTCACCCACCGGAGCTCCGAGCCGCCGATCTCCACGCCCGCGGCCTCAGGAACCGCGCTCCCGCTCATCGCCGCCATCTTCCTGAAGGCCGCCGCGTCGCTGCCGCCTCGGCTGAGGCTCCTGTGCTGCGCCTGCATCATGGCCTGCGGCGGCGGGTGCTGGGCGGCCACCATGGCGGCCACGCCGGACACGCGGGAAAAATCCTGGTAGACGGAGCCCGCCGTCCTGCAGGATCCGCTGCCTGGAATCCTGACGAGCGACCGGGTCAGGCGACCGTTGTTGTGCGGGGCCACCATCGCTCTCGCGCTTCCTCGATCTAGAAAGGACAAGGGAATCATTAGCACCGGTTCGTTCGCCTCGGCAGCGTGCACAGTTCTCACTTCTGATACACATCTGTTCCAGTTTTCGATGGAATAAACCCAGTACGCGTTTTCCTTTTCTTTTTTGTATCCTTTAATTGCAACTAAAATTCACTCCCAATTATAAATCATTCCGTGATTTCTAAACACTGATACTATTCATAATAGAATCACATGAAACTCACTTCTCAAATTCGTTCGTAAACACTGACGCTTATGTATCCACGTGGGTTTCCACTCTGTCTGTCTCTGTGTCTGAGGTGTGTCCTTTCCTCTCCAACTCCGGACTACGACTGCTGTGTCTCGGGCAACCTTCAGTATATAAGTACGTGGTTTATGACGCAAGATTCGTCGCGCATGTTTTGTAATATTTTATCTTTCCTCTTTCTTTATTTCTTCTTACCTCTTCTCGAAAATTAGAAAGTCGTCTAGACCACCATCCCATGAATCTCTACATCCTCCCAATAGAAATATATCAAAATGAAGAGAAGAGAAAACGAGAGAAAAAACAAAATTGACAAGAGCGTAGAGCCAGCGGACGAAATACCCGCGTCGGCAACTCACCGTGTGACGCTCCCTTGAGAATCGTTGCTGACGAACCTCACGTTTGTTCTCCCGATTGCGCAACGTGCAGTCATTTCGCTCAGAGAGACGAGCGGAAAAAGACTGCCCTTCCCGGGAACCATGAGAATTTAATTCCTGTTGTATGTATCCATTTATTAATATTATTTTTTAGTAATGCTCAAGATACGAGCGGAATAAGACTGCCCTTCCCGGGGACCATGAAAATTTAATTCCTGTTGTGTGTATCCATTTATTAATATTATTTTTTAGTAATGCTCAAGATACGATCGGGAAAAGACTGACCTTTCCGGGAACTATCAGTTTATTCCTGTTTTATTTGTCCACTTATTCATAAGTTGTTTTAGGGAAAGCTCTCTTCGGAACGCAAAAGTAGGTAATAATTGTTTTTCTTGTTTTTTTACTGCTCTTTCCGGGAACAGAGTGACTCATCAGTTCCAGGTCATTAGGTATTTTCCCTGGCTGATTAATATCTGGGAATCTCCTGTCTATATAGGGGATTATACGACTTGGGGAATACACTTTTTATTACCAAAGCCATTCCCATTTCCTTCGATTAGGCTAGTTATTGAGATAAATGGCAATCTTTAGTCCTTTGTCCTTTGTCACGTGGTCATGGGGCAATATCTTAGGTCACGTGGTCATGGGGCAATATCTTAGGTCACGTGGTCATGGGGCAATATCTTGGGTCACGTGATCATGGGGCAATATCCTGGGTCACATGGTCATGGGGCAACATCTTAGGTCACGTGGTCATGAGGCAATATCTTGTGTCACGTGATCATGGGTATCACGTATCTTGGTCACGTGATCATGGGGAATATCTTGTGTCACGGAATATCACGTGGGGGAAATATCTTGTGTCACGTGATCATGGGCACGTGATCATGGGTCAGTATCTTAGGTCACGGGGCAATATTTTCCGGACACGCCCTTGCTAATTCACGCCCACACACGAGGAACGTTCGTAGATGCGTTCATTACCTTAGGAACAAACCGGGTTTCCTGCGACGCTCACAGGACCCGCCGCGCAGAAATGTCCTACTTTGTGGGGAAGGGAATTTGTTTTCCATTTCTTCTCTTTTTTTCTTCTTATCTGTTGATTCATTTGAGGTGGGGGTGTCCTGGGAGGGGGGGGGGAGGGTAGTTTAGGTTGAGTTGAGAGGTAGATTTGTTTTATATTATTATATTATTATTATTATTATTATTATTATTAATTATTATAATATAATAATAATAATTATATTATTATTATTATTAATTATTATTTCTTTTTTAGTTTACCTGTTCTCTTGTGTTATACCTGTTCTCTCTTCATTGTCTACCTGTTCTTTTGTGTTCTACCTGTTCTCTCTTCATTGTCTACCTGTTCTTTTGTGTTCTACCTGTTCTCTCTTCATTGTCTACCTGTTTCTTTTTGTTCACTGTTCTCTCTCATTGTCTACGTATTCTTTGTGTCTACCTGTTCTCTCTTCGTTGTCTGCCTGTTCTTTTGTGTTCTACCTGTTCTCTCTTCGTTGTCTACCTGTTCTTTTGTGTTCTACCTGTTCTCTCTTCATTGTCTACCTGTTCTCTTGTGTTCTCCTTTCAGTCTTCCTGTTTTCTTGTTCTATTGCGTAAAATACTCATGTGACCAGATTTGCAAAGTTATGATCTTGAAAACTGATACCTGAACCTTGCGAAATATGAATCAACGGATTAAATTCAAGACATGAACAATACTAAACTTAACTCACAAATTTTATTACAACATCATACTGTAAGATCAATTACCCTTATAACAGTATGAAAATTAACTGTTATATATATGCACCTTATTAGTCACCTTAATAAAAGCGTATTATCTATAACATTTTAGCGACCAAGTGATGAAATATTTGCTCATACAGAGAACCGGGAAGTTGTTCATGTGACGTAATAAAAGTGATTGCTTTAACGAGGTGCAACGCGTGCAAGTTTTGGGTAATGAGATCTTTGTTGTTTATTTGTTTGTGTGTGTATTAATTGTTTGCTTTTGTGCCTGTAAAGATTTTTTATGAGAGAATATAGGGGGTGGGGTTGATTGTCAAATGTTTGTCTGCTTTGCCGCTAGGGGGACAGTCAGTAATTGATAATAAAAATGACAACGATAATGATGATAATAATAAGCATAATAACAATAGTAATATTTTGTAATCTGCTTAGATGTTCAGCTACTAACAATAAATGTTTCTTGTTTGATTGCGCAATCTGAAAAGATATTTCGTCTGCCTTTATTTTCTCATGTGGCGCCATCTTTTTTCGCCTCTGTAATATTACTATGATTTTTCCCGTAATTTTACTTCCATTGATGTGTATAACAAGGGATATTTTCTTTCTATTGTGTTAATAAAAGCTGCTTAAAACAAGTTCACAGAAAAATGCATATGGAGTCTCGATTTTTATCCCCGATCAAGATTTTCGAAACAGTGGCCTTCACTCGCCGCCACGCACTGATTCCTGGATTTAGTGGGTCTCTCTCCTGTTCATTTACCTATCTGTGTTTTGTTTATTTTTATTTATTTATTTATTTATTATTTATTTTATTTTTTTTTTTTTTTTTTTTTTTTTTTTTTTTTGAGATTGTGAAGCGTATATATGGATTTTGTATTTCGGTTGTTTATCGTTAGTCTCCCTTTCTTTGTATTTGTTTTTCTCCTTTGTTCCATTTCATTATTTTTTAGGCTCGTGGTCCTTTTTTTTCGGTTCCTCTAATTACCTTTTCTAAGATCTTTTGATTGGATTTACGTATTTTATCCATTCTGTTTATATCCTCCACGTTTTCATTTTCCTGTTTGTCTTCTACCTTTATTTCCGTTATTTGTTTCTGGTTTTCATGATCGATATTTGTTTTTTTATTCCTTTATCAATATTTTCTAAGCACACTTTTATCAATCCCTCTTTCTGTTCCCAATTTCCCTTTGCTTTTGCTTCTTTTTTCTTCTCCTCTTTCATCACCCATGTCTTTCTTTTTGTGTTTCTCCTCTTTCCTTCTTTTCATTGTTTCTTGTCTTCACATTTACGAATAGATCACCAAGAAATTAATAAAAGATACGAAAATAGGAAACGTAAAATTTTATACTTGCAAAATTAAACACACGTATCTATTTAACTCCCTCTCTCTCTCTCTCTCTCTCTCTCTCTCTCTCTCTCTGTCTCTCTCTCTCTCTCTTCTCTCTCTCTCTCTCTCTGTCTCTGTCTCTGTCTCTGTCTCAGTAGCTATTCCAAGCTGCGCGTTTCAGACGAAGTACTTTTGTACACTCAAGGTTCCACCATGGAACACATTTTGAGGTGTAAGGTCGGGAAGTTCGAGGGATGGTTACATAGGATGCATTTAGTACATTAGTTGTGAAGTATTGGAGCATTTCTGAGGTGGTGGAGAAGGATGACGGAAGAAAGGTCAAGAGTAAGAGAGAAAGGTATTCCAGTCTGCTCTGGCAAAGCACCTGCAAGGGGGTTGGGGAGCGGGATATAGGATGTTGGAGGAAGAAGAATTGGGAAGTGATCACCAGAGTGAAAATCGGTTAGGACTGACGAATGGAACTCTATTTGAAGGATAGGAGAGCAAAGAGAGAGATCGAGGTATGAAAAGGATTGAGTGCGTAGGTCGAAATGAGTCGGGCTGTTGGAATTTAGGAGGATAAGGTCGGTTTTAGCCAGGAATTTTTCTATGGAGCGACTTCTGATATTGATAATAGAGTCACCCCAGATGGTATGGCGACAGTTAAAATCTCCATCTATTAGGAAGGTGGTTGGAGTTGGGAAAGAAAGATCTCAAATTCTAAAAAGTCAAGGGAGGGAAGGAGAGAAGTAGACTGAAATGACTGTGATCCAGCGGCGGAGGAAAATCCGGATAACTGTGCAAGGTATGGTGTGAAGGAGGTATGACATATGGTGTTTTATGATGGACAAGTATGGAAGAGGCAAATAGAGAATGAGGGAGTGACACAAAATGGGAGTTGGAAATTGGTACTGGAGGATGTGTGAGGAAGGTTTCTTGGAGGCAGACGAGAGATGGATTGCAAGAGGAGAGAGGATGGCGGAGATCAGCTCTGTGTGGGCGAAAGCCTCTAATGTTCCACTGCAGAAGAGCCATTATAGATCACTCAGCAGGCATTATGGGGAGCGATGGATGTCTGAGAGGTAAGGGGGGGGGTCTGGGGGTTGAGGTATGGGTCAGGGGATAGAGGTGGCAGTGTAGTATTAAGGGAATCGTCAAGGGAGGAGGGATCAGGGGGAGAAGGGAAGGTATAGTGTCCGGAGGTTCATCAAGAAAGGTGGGATCTGGGAAGGACATTGTGACAGGAGGGATCCACGGGTGCCATCCAGGAGGGAGTGGTAGGGATAGTAGGGAAGGAGGGGTTTTGGTTTGGGTACGGGTGGGGGAGTGGATAGGGTGTGGGGGAAGAGGGGTAGGGTGTCAGAGGGAGGATGGATGCAGCCGGAATCTGGGCAGAGAAATTGTTGGTTAAGAGGGAGGAATTTTCTCTTGTGTCATACGTAGAAAATTTCTAGTGTCCTCAAGGGTTTCTGGGAGGGATTTGGGTGGGAGGTTTGGGAAAAGAAAGATCTTTTATGGGGAAGTGATCGGTATCTGTGGATTTGAGGGTGTAGGTGTGGGATTTGATTAGGTAGGAGAAGGGGGGGGGGGAGGCGCTGGGCTGTCTGATGTGACAGGTAAGGCGTGAAGTAGGAAAGACATGGGGAAGTTGTGGATACTGGAGTGTCTGGATTTAGGATGGAAAAAGGATTTGACTGGGAGAGCAGGGGAATTAGAGTCGGAAAGTTGAGGATCAGGGGAAAGTGGAGCTGTAGATGAATGGACCACTTGGCTAGAGTGGATGGGAGTGGGCTGATGCAAAGTAGTGGAGTAAGTAGTGACTGAAAAGCCTCATCGTCGTGCTTCTTGTTGTAGAGTGAGGCCTAGTTTAAATCTGAGAGTTGCTACTTCACTCTCAAATTTGTAGGCAGTGCAGCCTCTATAGAATACATTATGAGGTCCGCCACAATTAGCACATGCACGTGATTAAGTAGATCAGTTTGCACGGTCATGGCCAGGCTGAGCACATAGTGGGCAGCGGGTTGTGGACCGACAGTGCCCTGCAGGGTGGCCAAAACGCCAGCA